ATTTTAGAATATGATAAACAAGATCATCAAGGAAAGGCGGCGTTGATAATTTTAGACTCAAGTAAAAAATTCTGGAAACAAAGTGATCCCTCGGAAGCATTAATCACAACAAAATTACATAAGAATTGCAGACTCGGTTTGATTGAGTCTGTAAATTAGAGATAATGAATAAGTGCAACATCCCTCACGCCCCCTAGCACCGGATTTTGAGCGGTACTTTTCAATTCTCAACACCCTTAATAGTGCTTAAGAATCCTTAATGAACTTTTCTAGTGATGCCTTAAAAATGAAAAATTAATTACGTAAATGTATTAAAAAAAATTTTGTTTCTAAACTTAATCGTTAGTTTTTTTCTCTTAAATCCACACTCATATATTCGGAAAAAAAATAACGTCGCTTCCTTTAGATACTTTATTCAAAAAGGAAAATAAATATTGAATGAAGTTAAGATCCATAAGTTTTGAACAAGTATATTAAAAATCTGGAAACAAGGTGATCCCTCGGAAGCATTAATCATGCACGACAAATTACATAAGAATTGCAGATTCGGTTTGATTGAGTCTGCACATGAGGGATAATGAACAAGTGCAACATGCCTCACGCCCCTAGCACCGGCTTGAACGGTACTCAATTCTCAACACTTAATAGCGCTGGCATCAATGATCCCGAAAGACCAGAAAAATATAACAACACTGAAGTGAAGTACGGGGCAACTTTTTACAGCTGCCTCACGGCACTTGAAACTGCTGTTGTGAAGTATAAAATATGGAAACAAAGTGAATCCCTCGGAGCATTAATCACTACAAAATTACATAAGAATTGCAGAACTCGGTTGATTGAGTCTGTACATGAGGGATAATGAACAAGTGCAAAAAGTTTTTATTCATACTGAAAATACCTTATTAAAGATTGTAACATATGTGCTACGGATAAGTATTTTCTTGATTTCGGAAAGGAAATCTCGGTGGCTGCTTTAAAATATACTTGCAATAGTTTTTGTTGAAAATGAATTTGTGCTTATACATTTTTTTTCAATGATACCAATAAGAATATATTGGGTGGTTTTTTACATTATTAATAAAAATTACTCCCTTGAAGTTGGTCATTGTTTCCCCTAAAAAAATTTCCAATCGCCGATGTTTCTCAGGAATATATGATAAACAAATCAAAGGAAAGGCGGCGCTCAATGAAAACGCAACCCACATGACCCAGCAAACAAGAACAAGTGGCAAGAAGCCCAAGGCGGACCCAAAACAAAAAACAGGACAGGGCACTAGGCAGAGCACGGACAGGCTAATCACTAAAAATGATAAATAATTTGTAACTGATAAAAACGCGATGTTAAAAATAGGTAATGCATAAGTTATCTTCATCATAAATGGTAAAATTCAGCAATTTTCAAGTGATGTTGCTACTGACAAAAATTTTGTAACAAATGTAACATATATATTTTATGAAAAATGCCGTATGTTTGTCCTTCAGTTTTATTAAAAATATGGGAGAGGCGCCGTTTTTATACCTGTCCGCAATAGAAGTTCGTAAATACTCCGAGAGGGGCGGGGCGTTAATGCTTGACTTAAAATCGTTTAACTTTGTGAATCTACTTTTGTCATTTTAAACATGTTACTGTGTTAACGTACTCTTGTAGTTTACAACTGGTAACACGTTTCTTAAACCCTCTTTTTCCGTATTCGAGTTTTACGTTTCATTTTTATATTTCAGATCTATAAGTGTGCAAACATGCATATGTATTGCATGCAATGGAAGATACGAACTTGTAAATTTGTTGTCGTTTTTAAGATGTTAGGTCAGTTGTTACGATATATATGTAAACTTGTTTATATAAGGCGGTAACCTTCAAATAAAAGATTGAATTAAGAGGTTTACAATAAAAATGGTAGGCATACAAGTTCGCATTTTCAAAAGTCATTTTAAAAAGGAACACTTTACATGTCTGGAATTTTGGCAACGAACGCCCTCCATATTGCAGAGGCCTACAAAACAAGTTAATGCTACCTACCAAATATCTTGGGTGCTCTTAGCATTATACAGGAATATTTTCTGCAGAGAACACTTAAGTTATCATTATACACTGTATGTATAAAGGTACGTAAATGTTACAAAACTGACCCCGTGCGAGGACATTTCTATCTTAGGGCTTTAATTTTTAAAACGTTTGTAGATAGCTCCTTGACAAAGCAACATCTTTAGAAGCTCCAAATATAAAAATGGTTTCCTAAATACGTCAAAGGAGCACAGCCTTTTGCCATTTTTTAAAATTTTGATTTGTATAACTTATGTATAGGATTGCAAAGCGATGCTACATGCCAAATACGTGCATCTGAGATCTGGGCATTGATATATAAGTACATGTATAAAGCTTCCGATGAGAAGATTTTATGGAGAACAGTCTGTCGATAACGTGATTCAGGAAGTGCATGTACTACATGTATATATTCTTTATAAAATTGTGCTCAGCGAGTTAAAACTATAATCTGTTTATTGAAAATAAGCCGGTTTCTTAGAGCATAATTATGCATCATAGTGGTAATTCACTTTGGCATGTATCGTTCATGTACATAAGACATTAATTATTTCAATATACGAGGTCTTTCAAATAGAAAGAGCCTGTAATATAGTAAATATACAAGGATTTTTTTGACACCCAAAGGAGCATCGCAACGGTCGGTTATTATTTCATATGAAAAACATTCCATTACAATGAATTAAGAAAAGCATGGAATCCTTTTCAACTCATCAATGTACTGGTGTTGTTTACAAATCATGTAAACAGTACTATAAACACTAACTTCATAATCATTTCATATTTTCTTTTTTCTTATCTATTGATTTCAAATGATCTTAGCCAAGATGTTGATTCAAAGGATAAAACATTCTTAAACAAGTGTTGTTCGAGGAGCAACGCACTCCACTTTTCTGATTTAAAAGCAAAATAGAAAAGGGGGCATAATAATGAAAAACTGATAGGGGAATTGCAAAGACCTGTCCATAATAGTAAACAAGTATTTCAATTTTGAATGAATATACAATGTATCTAATGGTATTTTGGGCAAATAAAGAAAATAATGCTTGATAATATTTTATTGTTTAAATATACACACAATATACAATTTTACAAATATACTCACCAAGTATACATACACGGTGGCAGATTCAAGCCCGGGTTTCAGCCCCCAAGCTCAGCCCAAATATACGTTCATGAGCTTGACTGTAATATGTGTCCCACATGCAATACGGGTCGTAGTGTACCCCATTATAAAAGCTTTTTAAACTAGCTGTCACCCGGGTTTTAAATTGATGGGGTTGCCCCAGGATTTTATCTATAAACTGTTGGGATACTTGAACGTTAAAAAAAATTTTGATTTGCCTATTATTTTTAAAATGATAAAAAAATAAGAGTCATTAATAGGGGCAGATACATATGTAGGTGTGTAACGCCAGGAACCTTTGATTTTTATTGTTGTTAATTAAAAAAAATGAAAATTGTTATCAATTTTGAAGGAATTAAAAAAGGTGACGAGTTTTATAAAGATAATGTTGAAGGAATTGATTTTGAATTTCTGGTTTTTTAAAGATGAAATGATGGTCACTTGCTTCTAATAATATTTTACATTTCAGGCTGTCTTGAATAAATTGAAATTGCAATGACCTCTTAAATATCTAAAACAAGTTCATTGATGGAAAAAAATGCTAATTGAATTATAGTGTTTATTTATGATAACAAGCAGTAGTTCAAATTATATATTTACTTTGGTAGATCTGCTTAATTGACTGAATTTCAACATTGGTTAATGTGCCCTTCTTGACCAATATAATTTTGTAAATGATTACTAGCAAATACTATCCTAAACATAATACAACGGGATGGTTTTTTTTAATTATCAAAAAGGTACCATAAACAGCATTAGAAAGTTAAGGAATTTGTATCCCTTATTTCAATTTCATCAATGTACATGTAAATAAAACTGGACACACGTTCGAATAGTAATATACACGTAAACAATATATAAGAAGCTCATTAATTGGCACTCATAAGATAAGTTATATAAAGAGGCATCGCTTTTTTTTTTTAATGCGTTATTAAGAAGTCGCGCCTGAAACCCATTATGGGACCGTACACTCAAGTCGGGTCATCTAGAGCGTCCCGCCGAGATTTTTTCGTCGAATTTTTTTTCCGCTTTATTGGTGGAGGAAGGACTCCAAGGTGCCCCTCCGGGCATTTTTCAGGTTCACATTTTGATAATGAACATGTGTTTTAGGTTTGAAGTGAATGACTTTTATTGTTTCTGAGAAATGGAATTAAACCCATTACCTAGTTGCTAAAATTCATGGTAAACATACAGAAAACATTGTTCTAACTTGAAATTAGTTATAAATATATTCTGTATAATTTAAACATTTTGAAAAGTTTAAAACATAAATACTGCATACTTGTACAAACTTACATGTATCACGCAATTGTGATTTTATTACATATTTAAAATTTCATGAAAATTTAAAACGTTTGTGTTTCCTAAAAAGCTGAACTGCTAATATAATATAACTTTTAAGCATTTAAGTTAAATTTTTCATCTAAATAACTAAGATCATCTACAGTTTTCAGAGGTGCATTATTGTAACAAAATACATTCATATTTCTTTAATTTACCACGAGAAAATACCGCAACTTTTATTTTATCAGTGCCACAATTTAGTTTCAGTTTTTATTAAACCAAGGCATGTAATATGCAACTGGTTGTAACAAACAAATGAACAGAAAATAACAGTCAAAAATCAACTAATTTACAGTAGTCTAGCTAGCTTACACATATAATAATGCAATTTAGTGTAGCAAGGAAGGAAAGTATTTAGTAGTGTTATACCTCTACAGTAAGGGAGATCACTCTTCTTGGACATGATCAATGTTTACAAACAAAATGTTTGCATCACTGTGGTTTGCATGTTGTATGAATGAAAACTAAAGTTTCATAGCTGAGCGCTTGAGTTCCCAGAAACAATATTGTAAGCGCATAAATGCTGCTGATTTTGAAATTTCTAATTAATATCACCGAGAGCAAAATGCATGCTTAATTTGGCTCTTGAAACAGACCATAACGGCATACGATGCTTTTATGATGCGCAGTAGAAGGACCCCTCCAGCACCATTTAGGAAATGAAGAAATAAGTAAAACAAGCAAGATACACTGATATTAAAGTAAAGATAGTATGTAAGATGAGTAATATGTATACTTAGCATATATTTGCCATTTTCCCCCAGGACTGTTTGCACAATATAATGAAAAATACGTGTACTGTTTTCTGTCGTCTGCTGTTAGTTAATTTTTTACCAATAAAACTCAAAGTTAAACTGCCAAGTAACAATGTCTTGTTATAAGTCAGATTTATCTTCTTCTTGGTAATTAATAAAACATTGATCTGCCTATGTCAGTATACTGCCCCTTACAGCCATTTTTAGGTCAGATAAATAGCAGTGGAATCAACTGAATTATTTATCTAGATCTTTAAATTTCATAGTTATGATTTCATCTTATAAATTATCCTCAAGGTACTTTATACCGGGAGGTACTTTGTACCGGGAATGTCCAGATATTACAAACAATACTTACATAAAAAAATTCTTTTGTATGCAAGTGTTTTTCACATTAATTTCATACAAAATATAGCATTTTTTGAAGAAAATTCAAAGTTTTAATAACCCTATTCACATAAATGTGTTTTACGTATAAAAACCAGTAATATTGCTAACAATTTGGACCCATCATGATATTTTGAATGTGTGTGCAAAATGCTTATCAAATTATTACCCTTTTACTGTGTGATGACTGATAAATATTGAATAGAACTTTAGTATCATTAACAGCAATGGACCATTTACATATGTTTTTAACTTTTTATTGATTGCTTAAAAGTCATTCCTGGTATTAAGTACTTAAAAACAAAAATGGCTGCCACTCATATGAGGTTATTAACAGAACTATCTTTTTGATGTATAGTTAAAATTTCGTTTAGATATTTGTTATTTTCATAAAAAAATGGTACCTCCTACAGAAAATAACTATTTTATATTAGATTTTTTTTTGTATTATATGACGGTGGGCCAAATAAGGCTTACACTCCCGGTAGATAGTACAACCAGGATATATTAGTTCTGGCTTCCATAACTTTATATGTCGCTTTTATTTTGACGTTGCGACAGTAAAGTCTAGCAGTACTATTAAACCTGTTCGCTGAAGTCTCTTTAGCTAAAATTAAATTTAAGATAATATGTACCATCAATTAATGTGTATCATAATTCCGCAGTTATTGTGTGTGAATTAAATCTTAAGCTAAGTTTACAGTGAAGATCAGTTTGTTTGCTTATGATGGCAACATAGACATATAATTGACATCCATATTTGTCAGTCCTATTATATGAGGTTAATTCCCTTCAATCTGCAGTTCTGTGGAGTTGGAAAAGTAACTTGTGATGTTGAAAGAAATATATATAAAAAAGAAGATCAAAGGAACATTACAACCCTTTAATGTCTATCTCCTAAGAAAATCTGTCCATTTACATGCACACACTCGGGGGTGACATTGTGTGATGAATGCAGGTTATTTACTTTATATCTATATAATAGGCTGTGGGGAAAAAAGTTGCTTATGTGGATTTAGAGACTAAAGAAAAAACTAAAATGGAAAGAACACTTGAATCCATCCATCCATCTGTATGTCCGAGCCAACATTTGATTATTATGAGCTTCATTCCGTAGTTAAATAAAGAACATAAACTCATAAAATTTAAAATTAAGAGCTTTTTTTTGTTTTTATGAGCTTATTTTGCTTATGGACGTTGGTCCAGGTCGTGTTTATGAGCTCAATTGCCTCATAAACATCAAATTTTGGTACGTCCGTCCGTACATACAAATGTATAGATACTTAGGTGGCTATGGGAACAATAGGCAGTGATTTTCCAACTTATATAGCAGACTCCGAAAACAGGCCTTTTCCCAATTGAAATTTTCTTTAAAATCATGCAGTTTTCCCAAAAATCTAAACTTACACCAGCTTTTTTACTTCCAAAATCAGCAGTTTTAATGACAATTTCTCCCAAAGTCAAGAGGATAAGGCCTCTTCCCATTAAGTGAGAAAAATCACTGATAGGTAACAGTAAATTTCCTTTGATGCTATTCATTCAGTAAGCACTACTAAAAGAACAATAGAGAACAAAAGAGTAGCCACTTAAATACCAAACTTTGAGCACATCCGTCTATTCATTCAACAATCCATCCATCCACCCAAACATACATCTGTCCTACTGACTCCAACTACTGAAAAGGAAAGGGAGGCCATCTTAAACTGTAAACTTGCTAAATAAAGAAAATTTGATTTTAAAGTCACATTGTCCTTGACCTTTGACCTGCAATTGGTTGTGGCATGTAGAACTTATCACAATATATATAATAATGTGCAATTATCGAGTTTCGAAGTCCTAATTGAAGTAACTGATATGGACTGTAAAAATAAAATTAATCAAAAAAGTTAACAAAGTTAGTTGTAACCTTGACTTTTGACATTATAAATCAAAATGAGTTGGATAGGTAGGACTCATTAAAGTGCATCTACATAAAAAATGAAGTTCTTTTGTCCACATCCTTTCATTTAGTTGCCAGCTGTTATTACAGGTCCAAGTGACCTTTAACCTTGACCTTTTGAATTTAATGAAAATGGATGTTGAAAAATTTGCAAGTAAAACTTAGTACATCTACATAAAAAAATTGAAGTTCCTAGCTCAATGCACTTTGATTTAATGACATGATGTTTAATCATTACAGGTCACAGTGACTGACCTTTTGACCTGAAAATGGGTGTAACAGGTGAAACTGATCAAAGTGCATCTACTTTTGAAATTTCAATGTAAAAGCTTTGTTAATATTGAAGTTAATGACCAAAATGAATAGTTCATTCTAACCTGAATAACTCCACCTTTTGTTTGAAAAAGCTACATGGAGTTAAAACTGACCATGTAATTGTAATGTTTGCCAGTATGCATCTTTTGTTTTCGTAAAATATATATAAAAAAATTGTCACATAATTTGATTACTTTTTGTAGAAATTTCATTAATAATTAATGCCTGCGCTATCACTGTGATTTCATTTATGAAATCAAGATGAAAATGAAGGCGTGTGCATTAGTATAATGAATCATATAATGATGTTTGAAAGGAGGCTTCATGTTTCATTTGTTTATTTTTTTTTTTTTGCTATCTTGATGTCACAAGCATTTGTACAATTTATGTCTTATTTTACAGAATATTTTCTGCCATATACAGACCTGTATAAACCCGACATGCTTGGAAAAGGTTTATAATGGTTGTCCATAATTGACAAGATGACCCCTAACATTTCTTGAGGTCACTGAGTTACTAGGTCAAAGGTGAAGGTCAACATTATGTTCATTTTGAAAACCTTTTCAGGTCTCATCATTGGTACCTAAAAACCCTCCAAAACAGCAGGACATTTTGTGGAGGAATATATTATTGAAGCTGTTTTTTGTAACATTTTTGTGTGTTTGATATAGACACTGGCTTTTTGATCAAATAATTCATTGAACAGTTTTTGAAACTTGGTATATTTTGCCTTGTTATATAGCACAGGCCCCTAAAATGACTATAACTATCACTATAGTAAGTTTTTATGACTTTCTAAGTTATAAACATTTCTTTCTTTCTGTTTTAAGTGTTCTGTTGTATTCATCAATGGCAATTTGGTAAATTCCTATTTTTTCGTTTTCTAAGTAAATTTATTCGGATGTAATATAAAAAAGAGGACTAATCTCTGTAGGACATTTTCCAAGAACTTTTATTGTGACATTTCTCATTGATATATAGTCATGTTAATCAAGGAGATCATGAATACGAAAAGAACATTATTCTTCAGGCATTTGTTGTCTAGAATCATAGTAAATAATTGTATTTTATGTATTGACATTTTCTAGCTGAACATGTGCACACTCGAATGTCCCAAGTGAGACAGAATATAACATCATTATTTATTCTACAAGAGAAACAGATGTCATGATTGATAAATCTAAATATAGTCTATAAGTGTTATCCTGTAACATTTTAGCTTAACGCAGTAAAGGCCTTACAGTTAAGTTTAAAGCAGCATTCCTAACATTTTAACTTAAAGTGACAATCTGTTACATTCTTAAGTTTAAAGCAGCACTACTAAGCATGTATTCTTAAAGCAGCATCTTAAAGCAGCAAACATAACATTTGAGCTTAATCTAAGCAGCAAACCTAACATTTGAGCATAAAGCAGCAAAATAACATTTGAGCTTAAAGCAGCAAACATAACATTAGAGCTTAAAGCAGCAAACATAACATTTGAGCTTGAAGCAGCAAACATAACATTTGAGCTTAAAGCAGCAAACATAACATTTTAGCTTAAAGCAGCAAACATAACATTTGAGCTTGAAACAGCAGATATAACATTTGAGCTTAAAGCAGCAAACATACCATTTAAGATTAAAGCAGCAAACATAACATTTGAGCTTAAAGCAGCAAACATAACATTTGAGCTTAAAGCAGCAAACCTAACATTTGAGCTTAAAGCAGCAAACATAACATTTGAGCTTAAAGCAGCAAACATAACATTTGAGCTTAAAGCAGCAAACCTAACATTTGAGCTTAAAGCAGCAAACATAACATTTGAGCTTAAAGCAGCAAACATAACATTAGAGCTTAAAGCAGCAAACATAACATTTGAGCTTAAAGCAGCAAACATAACATTTGAGCTTGAATCAGCATACATGACATTTGAGCTTGAAGCAGCAAACATAACATTTGAGCTTAAAGCAGCAAACATAACATTTGAGCTTGAAGCAGCAAACATAACATTTGAGCTTAAAGCAGCAAACATAACATTTGAGCTTGAATCAGCAAACATAACATTTGAGCTTGAAGCAGCAAACATAACATTTGAGCTTGAAGCAGCAAACATAACATTTGAGCTTGAAGCAGCAAACATAACAATTGAGCTTAAAGCAGCAAACATAACATTTGAGCTTAAAGCAGCAGATATAACATTTGAGCTTAAAGCAGCAAACATAACATTTGAGCTTGAAGCAGCAAACATAACAATTTAGCTTAAAGCAGCAAACATAACATTTGAGATTAAGCAGCAGATATAACATTTTAGCTTAAAGCAGCAAACATAACATTTAAGCTTAAAGCAGCAAACATAACAATTTAGCTTAAAGCAGCAAACATAACATTTGAGCTTAAAGCAGCAAACATAACATTTTAGCTTAAAGCAGCAAACATAACATTTGAGCTTAAAGCAGCAAACATAACATTTGAGCTTTAAGCAGCAAACATAACATTAGAGCTTAAAGCAGCAAACATAACATTTGAGCTTAAAGCAGCAAACGTAACATTTTAGCTTAAAGCAGCAAACATAACAATTTAGCTTAAAGCAGCAAACGTAACATTTTAGCATAAAGCAGCAAACGTTACAATTTAGCTTAAAACTGATGTAGTAGATTACCCCTATTGAGTTTGAGATCACTAGTTCAAAGGTGAAAGTCACAGAAAATGTAGGATCATTATCTTGAAAACTTTTTTAACACAAAATCTTCATATTTCACATATTGGTTTATAAAAACTGAACACTTCCATATACCCATGGTCTCGGAAAATCCCGTGAAAAGTGTGAACTTGCAAGATAATAAATCCCTGTAAGAGATTTTAAGTGTATGATGTCATAGCTTCCTCAGCTCCATTTAAATGTAGCTCTTTGATGGATCCGATCATTTTCATCGTGAATAGTGACTGCAGACAATTAGATCTTGTAATAATTTGATTAGTCTCCTTTCCTATTAACTTTTCCCCGTTGGGACATTTGTGACCAAAATATGATGATTTTTCCCACACCATTGCACACTGTTAGAATATTAAACTGTTTGACTTGCATCAAAATTTGAATTGTTGCATGTCTGTTATAAACTTCTTTGCAACAAGACTGGAACCTATTTTGAACATGAGTTTTAATTAAAAGCTGATGAGTACGCAAATTGTCATTATAGATTATTGTTTTATTTACTTATTAATATGTTTTGAAAAGTCTTTTTTGATAAACCTAGAACTAGCAGAATGTAGTATGTTAAAATATTTCAAAAACAGTATTGTTTTCCAATGTTTGTTTCCCACAGTATAATTATTCCTTACATACTACATTATCTATATCAAGATTATGAAGTTCTTCAGCCAACAGTAAAGCGCCTTGGGTGAGCCTTGGGTCAGACTGCAAAGTCAAATTCATATTTTGGTTCCAGCAGGTTAAGGGTTTACATGCCCAAAATGCAAGTGAAAAGAAATCATGGTGAATATACTTGGATTGATGTTAATTTTGAAGGAAGTAATTTATAAATCAGTAGCAAAGAATTAACTCGTGAATTTCAATTAATAATACTTTGCATGAAAAAGTTTGCAAGTTCAAGAAAAAGTAGTAAGCAATAAAATAATGTGTTTTAATTTTTTTTTTAATTTTCATGAATATTTATTTTTCTATTTCAGACTTTCCGGCTTCGACTCATGTTAGAAATCTAATTTCTCTAAGGAATGGTGTGAAATAGGAGAAATGCCAAGCTGCGTAAATATGGAAAAACCAGATTGATTGAAATCACATGTTATATATAGGATAAAACTGTCCGATATAAAAATGACTCAAGCATCGGGACACAGAATATAAGAAGATCAGGGTTCAAGGTTATTAAAAATTCTCCTAACCCTGGTATTTGATTGGTCAGAAACCAGCACAGAATGCATATATTGGCCAATGAATATCCTGAGATTTGAGATGGAACTTGGAAAATAGTTTTATAACCTTGAGGTCAGGAGCAGGAAATAGTCTTGCAAATGATGAGCAATTACACTGATGTCTTAAGAACTAAAGTCTGTCTAGTGGAATTCCATTCATTGGAAAACTTTTAATTTAACAGGTGAGTGATTTTGTTAATTGTTTAAAATCATAACATTTTTTTTAAAGTTGTGAATTAAATTTCACATTTTTAAATATTTTTTTTAGTTTTAAATGTACAATTCTATATTTTAATGAAAATCTGGTTTTAATTTGGAGTTATATATTGATTTAAAATTTGCTATTTCGATCTCTGAAATTTTAAATTGCATGTAAATGACTAATGCAAATAATGCTAAAATATATAGTTTTAAATGTACAATTTCATTTATTAATGAAAACTAGGTTTTGACTTGAAGTTATTGATTTAGAATTTGTTATTTGGATCTCTAAAATGGCATGTAAAGTATTTGGAAATGATGTTAAAATTTAATTCCTAAGATTAATGTCTAAAAGATGTCAAATTTGCATAATGCTTAAAATACAAATCTATTCACTAGAAAGTTCTGCATTACTGTATAGTCTAGAGGGAGTGCTTTCAAAATTCATTATATTAACCATATATTTCAAAGAGAAAGCTAACTCATTTGAGCCTTGTCATGACAAAACCAACATAATGGGTTTGCGACCAGCATGGATCCAGACCAGCCCGCCCATCCGCTCAGTCTGATCAGGATCCATGCTGTTCGCTATCAGTTTCTCTACTTGTTATAGGGTTTGTTAGCAAACAGCATGGATCCTGATCAGACTGCGCGGGTGCGCAGGCTGGTCTGGATCAATGTTGGTCGCAAACCCATTATGTTTGTTTTGTCGTGACACGGCTCATATATTGTTCCAGCAGTTACCATAAATAGAAAAACAACAACATGGGTTTTACTTTGTGTTAGATAAAAAAATGTATTGGTTACTATAAATTGTCAGAAGAAAGTTATTTATTATTATAGCAATTAACCAATATGATCTTCTCTGTCAGCTATAAATTATGCTTGAAAATTGTCAATTAAACCTTTGGTATAATAAGACGGCATATAGGAACCGCTTTCAGTCACATAAGGAAAATGGCAGCCTCCATGTGCCACCAAAGTTTGTGGCAAAAATGATAGAGATATGTTTCTTTTACACAGACTGGAAGAAAGAATAATAATGGTGAAACATGTATTTTGAAATTGATAACAGTCAATATCCCTTCTAAAATCAGGCATAGACAAGGTTTGCAAAAGTTGTTGGAGTTCACAGTTACTCTTTTGCAAATGAACACTGTGGTATCACCCTGGTGAATTGCTTTTGTGTATCCATGATTGTTCTTAGTGCACAAGGCTTCTAATATCCAAAGTATATGGAAAGAGCCGATGTTTTTCGATTGGCAACAACCATGTTTAGGAAAAACAAGCTTTACTATATAATTTGAATAAAAAAAATCTATTCATTACTATGCATTGTAAATAGGAAGCTATTCATTATCATTTATTGTTCTAGCAATCACAATGTGTAAAAAATGATCTATATATTGCATAGAAACACTATTCATTTATTCGTTACTAAATTTATTGTATAGACAAAGCTATTCATTACTATAAATTGTAGAGGAAGCTGTTCATTACCATATATTGTTCCAGCAATTACCATATATAGAAAATAACGGAACTTTTTTTATCAGTATGTGGGAGAACTTGATTGACATAAAACCTTAAAGCAAGTTATTGATGTTGTATAAACACTTGATCAATCGCCTTACTGTTGATCATGATTTAACTTTCTGCAGAATTTTTAGTCTCTTGTTACAGACAAGAAGATATTTTTTACCCATCATTCTGTTTATACTGTACTGTACAGTATTTATAGTTTGAAAGGTTACAAAGCAAAAAAAGTCTTCATTGGTTAAAAATATTAAAGGAGCTCCACTGAGGTCTGAAAGTCTAAAAACCTAATACCTTTCTTTGAATTTCTTACATAGATCAGTAAAGGCACTTACAATGTACACGAATTAAGAAAATACAAAAAACAATTAATGTGTACATTGTATACTCAGAAATAAATTGGAAATTGTATTTTTGTGCAAATTATAGCTGATTTTATATGCTTTTCAATTTTGGGTCTTTTTTTCGCAATAGGAAAAAAAAGAGTGATCTGAAATTTTGCACACAACCCGGATGTAGATTTTCCAAGGTTTTTGGCTCAAAATCCTTGGATAAAAACCTCGGAGTATTGGAACAAGAAAATGCAAAACTTTGCTATTAAAAAAACCTTGGAAAAATAGGGAGAGGGTGAAAAACCTTGTAAAAAATTTCCGAGTTTTTTTTAAAAAAAAACCTCGTAAAAAGTATGACCTCGGAGTATTGGAACGATTTCCAAGGATTTCAGAATAAAAACCTTGTAAAATAATTTCCGAGGATTTTGTTTAGAAAACCTTGGAAAATGAGTGACCTCGGAGTATTGGAACGATTTCCAAGGATTTTTAAAGTGTTTCCGTGGTTTGTTTTCCAAGGTTTTTAAATGAAAACCTCGGAAAGTTTCTCACAACTGGGAATACTATTATATTTTCGAGGATTCTTACTTAAGGGCATCAGAGAATTTTCCAAGGTTTATTTGAGCAAAAACCTTGGAAATTTCTAGAATATCCATGGAAAATCAGAAAATATAACATCCAATCAAATATTCTGAAAAGAGCAATTATATTGTCCTTTTAAGGAATTAAGAAACTTATTTGTAATAATACAGAGCAAAAAATGATCACATGACTCACTGAAACATTTAATGTCAGTGTGAAGTAAATAGTAATGCACTACAAATGAAAAGTTAAGTTAGAAGTCTTTAATGGTAAATATTACACTCAAATGTTCAGTTATAATATTTTGGTATCCGGTTAAATTTTAATGTATTCAAATATCTATCTTTTGAATTCCTGTTCACTCTTCATGATTTTTAAATGTCCCTTAGTTTTTCCCTCACCATCACAGGGGTCGCATGTGGAAAATGCCCCAGGATACAATTCCTGAAATAAATAAAGTAAACATTTAATAAAGTACAGCCATTGAAAGAAGTTAGAAAAACAATTATATAAAATCACCACTGGGCTCTTCCCTCTCCATTGGGCGCTTCCCTCTCCATGTGGTCAGGATCAAAGACTTCAAACTACTTGCCTTACAATATTGTATTTTTGACTCCTGAAGCCAGGATGGGCTTCTTCCCTCTGAGGGAGCTATCCAGCCCAGGATTAAGGAACACCTGTGGTTATACTCAGGACAGTTCAGTATGTGTAGGCAATCAGAATTACATCATTTAATTTCTTTTTTATTAATCAATAAAAAAAATGATACATTCCTTAAACGTTTCCATAGACAAAAATATCAGTTCACTGTTGATATATATTGTTTTAAAAAATCAGCACTTTTGTGAAAAGAAAAACATCTTTTGAGTGATCCAAAACTACTTGAATTACAAGTTGTTCAAGACCATTGATTAAAATGAAGGCTTTAATATTTTCAAATGACCTTTTCTGTAGTTACTTTTAAATGTTTGTCTACGGTTTTGAAATAGTGAATTTAATTTTTTTCATGTTTATTTTTTTTTTATTTCATCAGTACTTAGTGTCAGGATTTCAAGAAAACTTTGGTAAGCAGTGTGACAATTCTGCGATGTTAAGAAAAGAAACGATGTCTGTTACTATTATTTTAGATTATGTCATACTGGATGTTACAAACTAAAGCACTCGTAAAAATATTGCAAAAAATAACGCTTTTGAACATAAGGTGATTCCGATTGCCTACACTAATTGTATCTGTCTGCTCAAAGTGACATCTGCATCATTAAAGCTGGAGAGTCATCATGTAACATTAATAGCATTTCCAACAAAGTATCAATAAAAAAATCAGTTCAAGAAACCTTTATTCATTCAAATTTCAAATTGAAACTTTCAAAACCTAGTTTTAAAACAAAAACATACTGTAGTATATTCCTTGAAGCCTTTCCTGGTCTACAGTTGGCTTCCTTAATCGATGCCTGGATGCCAATGATATACTATGATAAAACACAGCAAAGCTGGATTGCCATCTTCTTGTAGTTTGGAACAGTCTGACTCTGTAATTAAAAATTTGTAGATTCAAATAATAGATAAAAGATGAAAGTTTATAAATAATGTCATCATAGTTTCATGCACTCATCTTGTTCAATACAATCATAGACAAAAATAACATTTAGTATACTCATAAAATATCCTCTAAACAATTGTATTTAAACTAGCTTACATTTAGGTTAAAAATATAGATCTAAAATAGTTTGTATTAAAAAACTTATCTGAAAAAAAAAACAACAACAGATTTTATGCATAAATGTATCTAAAATTATTTACCTGAACCTTTTTACTATCACTTGTTTCTTTTGTTTATCTTCCTGTCCCAGGTCATTGATCTTTAGGTTCAATTACAACAACCAAACATTTCCTGAATCTTGTCACACTTAGATAAATGTTTTCTTTGAAAATTCCAAAATATGCCCCCTAACATTTAAAACAAGATATGTCCAAAATTGCTTAAAATAAATCCAGGTTTGCACTTCTTCCAACTATAACCACTTGACCCATTGATGTCTGAGATTCAAATTTTTCAACAGTATAACTGAAGGGGCAATCATAATGTGAAACAGGGGTGATCCCAAAATATCAAAGCCATCATCATTTTATTTTTACATTAATTTTATTGAAGGTACAAATATATCAAATGATAAATAAAAGTAAAACTTGAAAATTATAAGAGAATCACAGTTGCAGTGTCATTTTAGACTGTTTTGGATTGTAGAAAAACCCAGACTCCCCCTGAAAAATCACATGGAACAATCTGGTCTATCCCAGAATGCTCAATGAGAAGATTGATCATGCATAGATTATAAGAGGGAACCACCTGGGGTGCCATTAGTTTTATCTGATCAGTGTGTTATATTCTGTGTGTGAAAACTAATAGTGGATGCAGTATTTATTTATCTTAATTATAAGAAAGTATCAAGCATACATATTTTACACATTAATTGTACATAATTATATATTAAAAGGACAATTAATAACTATTTATGTTTATTGTACACATAATT